ATAGATGCATTTATCTAATATTTAATACAGCATGATTTAACTATATAATTTAACAATATAATTTAACTATAAACTACTAGTTCACAAACTAAAATAGAACTTTTATCATAAATTTTGTGCAAAGTATTTGCAGCATCGCGTTTAATAGTAATAACTTTGTCTTAAAAAAGATACAAATTATTTTAATTTTTCACACCATGCGTACATTGACTTAATTTATAATATGCATGCTCGACACATTGCTCGAACTCAAATAAGAAGAGTACGGTTATTGATTTCATACAATTATTTATACAAGTATTTACCATACTATGATAATTTTACGTTTTTCATATCACATACTTTAACAAGTTCTACATTCAGGTCTCGAGTCGGTGGTAATGATGAGGGGACAGTTGACTGCATTAATCCTTCAAAATCTGCACGTCTCTTTTTGAACGCCTCCACGTAACATGAGGCAAAATTATGCGGTTACCTCGATTGTCGTTGATTACAATTTCTACATGGGACGTATGTCCCATGACGATTCCGATGTCCAAAAACTTATATGCTGTCAATGTCAATGCATATCTCCTTATCAAGATATGGGCTTTGTAGCGAGGTTTCAAGGATGTATGAGAAGATGTGTGAGAAAATGAGCTGTAGAAAATAGACAACAAATAAATAGATCTTAGAAAAATACATAACGTATGAAACGTATAATCAAAATTTTATAAAAATTAAATAAATTTACTTATCGCTCGCATGCCTCATCCTGTTGAATTGGAATATAATAGTAGCTTGAGACATTTTCAAAGGTAGGACATACTCTGATACAGTAAAAGCAATCTGCTCTATGTAGTAAGAGTGGTCCACAGAGCGACTGATGTAATAAGAATTATATATCATAAGTATGTGTTTTTTTGAATAGTGATCCCCACCACAAATTTTCAGAAGTTTCGCATTCCACTGAATCCTCAGCAAATGTAGTAAGCCAAATAACTGAATTAGTAACATCGCCGTAAGTCCTACTAATTAGTGCTAACCATTTCACATTTTCCAGCAACATATCCAAATTATCATTGAAAATTATTATTTTCGCATCAAGAGTTATTTCAATTTCGTCTCCATGTGTGTGTGATTTTACTTTAATATAATATCCTAATTACATTTGAGACACTGAAGTAATATGTTCCACAATGTCTATGTGGATGAGCTTCGCTGTATGTTCAATCAGTAACACTATGAATCGTACAATGACAAGAAGGAAGATTTAAATTTACGTAATACTCAATAATGTTTTGTCTCTTTATTGTGATCAATCATAAACTTTCTTTTCTGATATAACGGTAAATGATTAGCTATATCGTGCCTAAATATTTCATACAATTATACATTATAAATTTAGTTCTTTTTTTTTATTCTTTCCATTTTTTTGTTTTATCTCAAAAATTAAATTACTCTATTTACAGGAAATATTAATTTTATTTATAAAAGATTTTTGTTTCTGATTTGATATCCTTATAAATAAACTTTACCAAGATATAACATATGTATGCATATGTATACATGCTATAAATCATATAAAAAATTTTATCATCATACACCTCGTGTATTGGAAAGAATATTTACACTGATTCCTCCAACTTACAAATACCTGAATGTCGAGATCGTCGTGAGACTATCTTTTGGTGGAAATTGCCATTGGCGACAATCAAGCTAACAACATAATCTTGTCTCGTACAATGTGGCGGGCTTTTATCGAAAGATGCGCGGATATTGAGCGGGTCATGTAATCGATAGCACTATCATCATTATCGGTCCAAGATCTTGTGATAGAAATAGTAAAAATGCTTGATGTGAAAATACGGTCAAATTAACACTGCGCGGTACATGTCTGTATATGAAGCCATGCTCTTCATGTCGAACTTGAACATTGCCTTGAGAATGTATACTTTGAGCTATGCCAGTATGCGTATATTGTATGAAAAATTTAAATATTTTGTAACACTTTTAGGTGAAAATTGTATCATCGATAAATGTGATGTTGTTAATTTTTGCGCAAAATTTATAATAAAAAATCAAATATAGAGTCTGAGTTAATAGTTTATGCTTTATAATATAATAAACATAATATTGTAAACAGTATGAGAAGTAAATGTACATTTTATTGTTAATCGGAAGCATGTGCTAAAAATTTGATTTAAAATTATATAAATTAAAATAAATTAAAGTTCCTGCTTATAAATGTTATAAGAACTATTATATATATTGTAAAATTACGTTATATATAAAAGTAAACCATGTATATATGTATATATTATTCATTCCTTTCTTATCATCGCAGCGCTATACGAGTATTACGCTCGACGGTACTGCGACAGATGGTCACGATCTCTCTATTAAGCGATCTCTCTATTTAAATCATTAAATAAAAAACATATTGTAAAATATTTTTGTGCGAAGAGAAGATTCTACGGAAGCAACAACTCGGCGGGAAAGATGATGAAACGAAGAGAAGAGAGATGGTAAGTGTATGCAGTAAATCTATGCAAGGCTTTGTTACCGATGCATTTTTGTGAAAGGCGGTGGGCGGTGGCAGGGACGAAAAAGATACGGAACGTTTAGCAGAATGTTATCATGCGTTGTCATGTTTACGTCCTTCGACCGGTGTCCTATGTTATGTAAACAGCGATACTGCCGATCAGGAGCCTTCTACGCGCTGCCTTCTTCCCGTGCCTCACGCCTCCCTCAGAGGACCGCAGTTAGAACCGGCCTCGAGGAAGTAATCACTAGCTGAAATATTGTCCCACAGATTACATTTGATTTCATTTGATTTTATATGATTTCATCTAATTACAAATAATTTTTTTTGTCACATATGAAATCATTTGGTAAAATATACGATTTTATTTAATATTATACAATGATTTTTCATGGTTGCATATGTAATTTTCGGATTATATATACAGATTTCATGTGAATTTTATAATGATTTCAAGGACTCTGTCCCAGGATTACATTAAATGGTTATCCCCTCGTCCAGTCTAGTGTTCCTACGAGGGGTATCCAGAAAATAAGTTCCGTTTGTATTATACGTTTAGTAAGGTCGATGTATGAGCGAGCTGGCAACACAGCATTGAAGAGGGGAAGCTACCGAATAGAATGAGCGGTGTTCGGCGTCAGTAGCTCGTGAAACACGGTCAGGAGAGGTTATCAAAATGGAGTCCTCCACTTCGCGTCCCGCCACCTCCATTCCGATTCCTTCTCGAGTTGTTTTGCGCGGCATCATTCAGTTTCTTTTTGCTCAAGATTTTAAATCGGTTGATATTCACAAACAGCTTGTTTCTGTATATGGAGAGAGTGTGATGAGTGAATCTATGGTGCGGAGATGGGTCCGAGAATTTAAGGCAGGAAGACATTCGCTTGAAGACGAAAGTGGGAGAGGCAGACCCTCCCTTATCACGGATGAGTTGACGACAAAAATTGAAAATGCGATTCGCAATGATCGTCGTTTAACTTTAGATGAACTCCACAACCTTTTTCCAGAGATATCCCGAAGTCTTATCCATGAGATCGTTTCAGAAAAACTCGAATTTCGCAAGGTTTGCGCCCGTTGGGTTCCCAGAGAACTGACTCCTCTACACAAGGCCACACGAGTCAGTTTAGTTGGGATGTTTTGACCCACCCACCGTATAGCCCGGATCTAGCACCATCGGACTACCATCTTTTTACGAAACTGAAGGAGTCCTTGGCCGGAAAACGCTTCCAAAGCGACGAGGAAGTTCAGACAGCTGTAACTAACTGGACTAAAGAACTGGCGGGAAGTTTCTATGCAGAAGGGATTTCGAAGCTTGTTTCCAGATATACAAAATGTATTGAGATTGACGGGAATTATGTAGAAAAAGACTAGAAGTTGTCAAGTATTATCCATGTAAATTTTAGATTTTTTCAATAAAAACTTTATTTGTAAAAAAAAACGGAACTTATTTTCTGGATACCCCTCGTATTTAAACTGTTTGGAACCTAAGACCCCCCCCCTGAGGTCTTCCTTTTTTTCTTAATTTACATCTTATGCTATCAACTTTTACTGATATCAAGAATTTTCACTATCTTGTTGTACAAACCGAGATGGTCTTTTATCAGACACTGTATAAATGTGGATGGGAATGTATCACCCGAATGCGAATCAATCCTTTTCTTGTATTTGTAATCGAGTCTGCTGAAAGAACGTCTTGGGAAATAAATTGGAATAATTTATTTATTTATTTATTGTGCAATGTATACAAAATTGTGGTTACAGAGAAGAAAATTAAAACAAACATATAAAATAAAATACAATACATATGCACAAATGGTGAGGCACCACTCAGCAAACGAGAATGGATTGAAATTAATTGAAATGAATTCAGATTTTCAGAAATATTGATTCACGAATGGTAAAATAAATGCTTTTCAATCCTGAATGCATTTTTATTTATTTAGGAATTGCATGGAGCTATGCATTACAATCTAAAATCTCTATGCCTTTCAATCTAAAAATAATATTAGTTTTTTCTGTGCACAATACACACATTGTGAATACTGTTCAATTCAAAATTTTGTACAGGAAATTTTCAATCTAATTGCATTCAATTGAATCTAATTGAATTCAATTGAATCCAAAGAAAGTATTCGCTATTTAAAATACGCATTCGGATAGAAAAAAATTTCAATCCATTTTAATCCATTCTCGTTTTGCTGAGCAGCAAATCTGCTGCTCTAACGCCTACCAGAAAGAGAATAACAAGAGAATATAATCAATAGATGTTTAAAAGTCAATACTAATAAATAAATACTGAATACAGCCTCAATTACAACGAAAGGCAAGATAATAATAAGTATAATACAATACATAAGATTAAAACATAATGGTAACAGATTAAATCATACAAACAGATTAAAACATACTGTGACTTAAATGCGAGAAAAATAATCGCTAACCGCAATTTAATTTTGTTTTTATTTTTTTATTTATTGAGCAGACGGCAGTGGAGCGAGGTGCAACGGCAGCCGCGGCTGCGGCCGTCGAAGATTCGACCTTTCCGTCCGGAAGTCTGCATAGAGCGCGTAGGTCGGAGATGTTAAGAGAGAGAAAAGCGGAGAGGGAGAGGGAGCGCGAAAAAGAACGGAATAAGGATAAGGAACAGGAGAAACCGAGATCGAGCGGCGAGAAAGTTTGACTAGTGGTCAATAGCGAGGAGGTAAAGAATTTAATCTTACATATTAATCACATAAAAATCAATCTAAATTAACCTATTCCATTATAATTATGTTTTTCTGTTGGCAGGTATGGTTGTGACAAAAATGGTGTCCCGTTAAAAGCAAGAAGACACGAAGAAACCGAAGGAAAAGAGAGAAAAAAGATTTTAAAGACTCAAGTTGTATCCTTTAAAGTAAAGAATAGGAGACTGCCTGTATTTGTATGAAACAGATCAAATTCATAGCGATCAATGTGTGATAGCGATATCTTCTAATTATTAGATGTACGATATATCTCTTGAAATCAAAATCTTTAATGAATCTCAGACATACAAAAAAACATGACAGCGACGGCGAATATTTTGTGTTTTTGTTCGTTTTTATAACGATTGTCGAAAGAGCACAATTCTATCATACATTAATATATTGTTACTTCAAATATGAAAATTTTTCAACGCTTCAATGACACACCGCTGGCAAACTACGAAGAAAATTGTATTTAAAAAACTGGAATGTCATTAACACTGCTCCTGCCGTAACTTTTTTTACTCATATGATATGATATAATTATTCGTGTGAGGTGTTTCTAAAACCTCAACAATTATATATTTCAAAAAATTTTAACAAAGGACTCTTCATTTTGAAAACAATATAAATGGTATATAGAGCATATAAGAATCAAACATAAAGAATTATTTTAAAACATGAAAATTCAAAATATATATAATATAATACTCTAAAATTAATTAAAAATCAAATATACATTACATTTTTCAGTCTCTCGATTCAGCCTTCTTCATTCAAAAGAAAAATTGTATATGTACGAGTGATGTTACCATGATAAAATGCAGTCGAAGAGATAGATGATATTATTTACATAGTAATGATGACCAGAAAAATTTCAGAGAGACAAAAATAGCTCGCAAGCGGTTGGACGACAGGTTGTTAAAAATTTCCCGATGTTCTGGTAAAAAGTCAAATTAGAAATAAAATAAATGAATTGTACAATGATAAAAATTAAGGAAATACGTCACTTTGATAGAAAAAATTCACTGAACTGGCCATATAGTTATGTTTCGCGTATCAAGAAGATGTTCGTCAATTTATATTAAGCGTCAGTGTTGGTTTATAATAAAATAGCGATATCACAGACAATGTAGGAAAGAGTTGGTCATGATATAAAATTAATAGTGTATAAAATTAAAATTATTATATATAAATGTATTTAAAATAAGTACCGAGGTAAAAATATGTGTTACTGTCGACAGACAAACACTGATTGAGGAATAATAATAAATTAAAAATATTCTTGATATTACAATGTCAGATTTTGTTTATTATCAGTATGGCCTTATGGAGGCCATCATCCGTTTGTAGAATTTTTTTTGTTTTTTTTTTATTTAACATCTCTCAAATCAAATGTTTATTATAACATGATTCTTCGTCTAAAATTTCGATGTTATTCCAATCAGAGTTATATTCGTGTTGCAACCTACGTTCAATTGTTATTGATCGAGCAGACGTGTTACAGCGAATATGACTTTTATGTTCAGTGATTCTTGTTTTTAGTTACCTGTCTGTCTATTCCATATATGTTGCATTACAATCATTACAACTAATCTTATAGACTACGTCATTTTTGGAAAGATGAGGTCGAAAGTCTTTACTTTAATATATTTTTGTAATTTATTAAAACTCTAAAAAAGATACTTTGATGTCATCCCTATTAAATTTATTGAATTTTTCTATCAAAGATGGAATAAGAGGGACCGTAAACCACAATGGAATTACTGTTAATTCATTTTTCTCCTCTAAATTATTATGCGATAATGTTTTTTTTTGTCTTTTTAAAGTTTGTAGCGCAGAATCGACTCATAGGATCAAGTTGTGCCCTACAAGCTATAAGCCTTAAAAGATTCAGATTTAACATGTGCAAGTACAGTATTCAAGTATATATTTTCTACCATTTTATGGATCATTTTTAGCTCGTTCTTGCCCATTTCTTAAACTCGCAAGCACTCGTAGTGTATCGCGAAGAAACGATAGCGAGTATATTTGAGGAGATTGTCCATTTTCAGTACAGGTTTTTCCGCTGAATGACAAACGTATATACAAGTACGATCATAAGTATTTTTGAGTGGATTGTCCGTTTTCAGTGCTTGTTTTCGTGCATACCTGTATTATATTATATATATATAATATATATTAGGTATTGGAATTAATTCGTAGCGTTTTTTAATGAAAGAATGTTATTTATTTCACATGAGCATTAAAAAATACATTAATGAAAGTACTTCCCATCACTTGTAAAACGCTACGAATTAATTCCAACACCTAATATAATATAATACAGGTATGCACGAAAACAAGTACTGAAAATGGACAATCCACTTAAAAATACTAAAAAAAAAATATATATATATATATGAGGGTAAATAAGTACTCGTGTTAGTAATGAAGACGCAAGCTTTTCACAAAAATTTTTTTTATTTTCCAACGTAATCCCCTTTTAGGAGGATATACTTTTCCCAACACTTCTGCCATTTTTTTAACTTCTCAGAAAAATACGATTTGTCGAACTCTGCAAAATAGGTCTCTGTTTCGGCAATGACTTCCTCATTCAATGTGAATTTCTTTCCACCGAGCCATTTTTTCAAGTTTGGAAACAAGAAGAAGTCACAGGGGGCTAAATCCGGAGAGTACGGTGGATGTGGCAGCAATTCATAGTGCAATTCGTAGATCAATTTGGCTATGGCGATTGCGATGAAGTGAGCCGGTGAATTGTGAGCAATCGCGACACCCATCGGGCCGACAGCTTTTTCATTCCCAAGTCATCAAAATATTGAATGAATCACTCTGAAATATTGTATGGCGTCGTTTGAAAGATGGTAGTACATGATGTCAACTTGCATCAGCAACGCCGCCTTGAAACACAGGTACTTATTGATTTGTCTTATAATATTTATAATCTTTCATGTAAGAAGTACATAAGTAAGCGAATATTGACTTGTAGTTCAATGGTAGAGTGGTAGCCTTGTAGCAGAGACCACCAAAGCAGAACAAGTCATGATGTCAAAGTCTATGATATCAAAATGACTCCAAAATAATTATTAAAAGTCATTTTTCAATCATTTCCGATTTATTTTAATGTTATTTTGACATTATCGTGACTTGTCGTTTTGCTTGGGCAGACCTCGGTTCGAATGCCGGCAGGAGTAAGCAGATTTTCTCGTGTTATCGGTTACGCTTTACTGAATCACTGATTATTTTGAGTAAAAATGTGCAATGTGAGTGACGAGTACTAAACAAATATTTTGCACTCGTAAATACATTTGTCCACCTCAATTTACATAAAATGTATCACTCAAAAATATTCATAATCTATTGCATACTAGCATTGCAGCACACTCTCTTGTCTCTCTCTGTCTTTTCAACATTGAATCAATGTCTCAGGAATGTTGGTTTATAACATTGTGAACATTGCAGTAACATTGCGAAAAGTAGATTCAATATTAAAGAGACGTTGCAGAAATGTTCTTGTTTGCGATCTAAAAACGGAGTCATATTCATTAAGCGGAATGCACGTTTTAACCATTCAAACTAACAACGCGCGCGCGCGCGTACACACACACACACACGCACTCACACACACACACACACACGCACACACACGCACACACGCACACACGCACACACGCACACACGCACACACGCACACACGCACACACGCACACACGCACACACGCACACACGCACACACGCACACACGCACACACGCACACACGCACACACGCACACACGCACACACACTCACGCACACGCACACACACACACACACACACACTCACACACTCACACACACTCACACATACACACACTCACACACACTCACACACTCACACCAGAGAGAGTTTGGAGTCATTAAATATTATAGAACGACATTAAATTAAGAGTTACATATTTCGAATCGAAAAGCTTGTATTTTTAGGTGTAAAATCTGAACTTTTTAAGGCTTGTAGCGCGGGAACGGCTCATAGAATCAAGTTGTACTCATTGAAATATTTGTTTAAAATGAAGAGAACTACACATGTCCAAAAATTAACCAAATCCGCAGAAAGACATTTTCCAATAAGATTAGTCCTTTAGTTGGTTATCATTAATCATGATTGTGATATCTAAGAAATTTAGTGAGTCATGACCTATTTCCAACGTAAATTGGAGGTGAAAATAGAAAGAATTAAAAATCAAAAGAATTATTATGTAGTATAATGGCTCAATAATTTAAAAACAAATTAAAATAAAAAGGGCTACGAGTCAAAAGTTCGACTTATAAAATTGATAAATAAGTAAAAAAATGTCTTAATAAATTATAGTTTTTATTTTTTTGACAAATTCTAATGTTTGTATTTTGTGTATGTTACTGTTCGGTTTAATTAACGAAACAAAGATCTTCCTCAATTTGATATCAACAATTATATAGTTATTCAATGTCAAGTATATTTTCAATTTTCGATTGATTTTATGTTATGTTTTTTTTCCGTTTAGATATATTTTGTAAACATTGATAATAATCCGATTGTGATCGAAATGTTTGTTGTTGTTAGCCGGCATGTTATTAAATTTCATAATTAATTTATGAAGACATTTTTTTTATTTATCTACCAATTTTATAGGGCAACTTCTGGCTCGTAGCCCTTTATCTTTTAACTTGTAATTAAAGTATTCTATGAACGAATCGAGTTTAGAAAAAGGAACAGCAACGCATAATTCGATTGGAATAATATCGAAATTTTAGACGAAGAATCATAATAAGCGTTCGATTTCGGAGATCCTAAACATAAAAAAAGAACAAAAAAATAGTCTTAAACGGATACTGAGGACCTCTATGAGGTATACATACCGATAATAAAAAAAATCTGACATTGCAGTACCAAGATTATTTTTAATATATTATTATTCTTTAATTAATGTTTGTCTGTCGACAGTAACATATATTTTTACCTCGAGACTTATTTTAAATACATTTATATATAATAATTTTAATTTTATACACTATTAATTTTATATCATAACCAACTTTTTTCTACATTGTCTGTGATATTGTCTATTTTATTATTTTATTATAAACCAACACTGACCTTTACTATAATATTGTCGAACATCTTTTCGACATGCTAAATATTATCATTGGATTCACGTGTGACATCTCGACCTATCAGCATCGGCTTATCGCTTCTGCTTCGGCTGTCTCTTTGAATTTTCTTCATTTTCTAAAATCATTTAGTTCTACTCTAAGTTTATTTATAGCAAGTAAGTCTTAAATTTTTCTATTGAACACTGCTGGTGCGGTCGGCATGCTGGATGTTCATAAGTGATGCTGTCCTCATATATGATTGTAGTTGAGCATTCTAATTTTGTTATATATTAATGTTTATACGCGCATTTGACGTTTCTGCATTATCTTTGTCTTTTCATATATCAGATTTCTTGCGTTTATTAATTCTCCGATTCTGAAATCTAATATGATTGAAATATAATTTATATTCTGTTATAATTTTCTCTTATTGTTATTTGTTCCATGTATACTTATGTCATTATATTGTTTATTACTGTAAGTCGTTACGCGATCAAACTTGTATGTATTTTTAAATACAATACTTATATTATCTTTATACGATTATATTTCGACGCATATTTCTGAATACTTATATTATCTTTATACGATTACATATTTCTGCAACATGAATCAGTCGGCCTGCTGTATGTGCAAGCGTTTCATATTATGCTTGCTGAAGTGCACGTTCTATGGGATCGATAACGGCATGCCTCCGGACGACGCGGGTGCTGCGGGCCCTACTTTAAGTGGAGACTTGTCTGTATCTTTGAGGATTGCTGCGTTCTCATCGGCCTTGTCGCCCGTCTTCTATGTCCTCGCTTGGTCATCAGGGCCGTGACGACGTGCATCGCTCGATGTCTTGTTATATTTTGATGAAGTTAAGTCATTGCTA